TTTTCCTGATGAAAGAAGAGAGTCTACTCTTTCTTTTGGTGTGTTCGATGTTTACATAGCACAAACTATTCTGTGGCTCTTGAAAAATCAGTCAAAATGCTCCAAAAACTCTGGCAGTCAATGAGTTAACAATAAAAACAAATCACTGAACAGCTAAAGCTATCCCTAACAGCGTTAGAGAAGAACTTTAAGGTTTCCCTCTAGGTGTGGATGGATGGAGAGCACAGCAGTGAACAGTTAGCTAGCATGCTAATGTCTGAGTCACCTGCTTTCCTGGGGGAGTCCTGGTCCACTAGTGGAATATCAGCCCCGACGTCTCTCCTCTTCCTGATCATGGACAGCAGCCGGCTGAAGGAGAGCGTTATTATTATTACTTTTAAAGGATCCTGATGAGCTACAGTATCTAGCATTGGATCCTGAAAACACACTTGATCTATAATAATCATGGAAATATATGATCTCACATATAAATGAATATTACTAAATAATTTACAAATACAGTAGATGCTTTCAAAATCCTACAAAGTGAATTCCTAGATTTTCTTTCTCATATTGCCTCTCATAGTAAAAAGTGTTGCTATAATGGGGATTACAGACCTCTCTCATCCTTTAAAGCAGGAGAAGTGGCAGATCTGTGTCTGGCTGAATACTTTACATACAGTGGGGGAAATAAGTATTTGACCCCTTGCTGATTTTGCAGGTTTGCCCACTTACAAAGAATGCTTATTTTTCCTCATCAGATGGTTATCAATTTTTATGAATTCGTATGATGTGATTTCCTGGAATTTTCTTTGGGATTCTGTCTTTCACTGTTAGAATGTACATATGATTAAAGTTATAGATCGTTGCATTCTTTGTAAGTGGACAAACCTGCAAAATCAGCAAGGGCTCAAACACTTATTTCTCCCACTGTACTTACACTGCCCACTGTGTGTGTCATTATTCTGAATCATGGATCAACGACATCTCAAATCCAGCAGGACTTTGTGAAGTGACGGAGTTGGGGGCTCACCTGAGCGGGTTTAAAGCAGGCGCTGGGGCGGGGGGGGGGGGGGGGGGGGGGGGGGGGGGGGGGAGGCGGGGATGGCGTGGGGTTGACGGCAGCCTGCAGCTTCTTTTGGAGCTCCTCCACTGGACACACAAACACATTCAGCAACAAGACACAGCCATCTTTTACATGTATTGTTACACTGCGCTCAAAAGTGTGTTATGGTGTTGTGGGTTTCCGATAGAGTTCCATCCATAAACCAGTGGACACAGACTATAATAAGTATTTTTCCAATGGAGGCCTTCTCTACGGCGTTGAAAGACAAACCATTTCTTTTTCACTGGACATGGGACCCTTTTTTGGACTATTTGGATGCGTCTGCAACTCAGAGATTGAGACTGGGTTTAATTGACTTAGCCTGGCAACAAGAGGACAATTTGTAGCGTTATGGGGTTTTTTTCTGATTTTGGGCACCCGTTATTTATTTTTTATTATTTTATTTATTTATTTATTTATTTATTTATTTATTTTATTTATTTTATTTCTTTTATTTATTTTTTCTTTTATTTATTTATTTATTTATTTGTTTTCTTTTATTTATTTATTTTTTCTTTTAATATTTATTTATTTTTTATTATTATTATTATTATTTTAATTATTATTATTATTTTTATTTTTTTTATTATTATTCTTATATGTGCACATCCCTCTCATATGTATGTAGAGTGTTTAATATTTGATGTTTTCCTGCTTTGCAAAAAAGTTCAATAAAATAAAAAAAATTAAAAAACAAGACACAGAGCCAGGAAGGATAGAGGAACATGTAGAGATCCTAGGGATGAGCTATTTGTTTCACCACTGACTTCATGTCTGGAACCGTTTTGCAATGTGTCAGATTGGAAAAAAGACAAATGAGCTTCACTGACATTGGATATTTGCTGGATTTCTGAACGCTTTTATTGAATCTGGAGTCAAATTTGAAGTGTTTCTTTCAGTCAATAATGTCATCGGTGGCTAAACAGAGGAGGGTGTCGTTTTTCTGCTGATTTTCAGCTCTCGTTTTTTCTGTGAAAGCATTTATGAAAACCAGCCTTTTTATCTGAAAGTGGTGCTCTCAGTTAGTCATTGAGATGTTCTGGGAACACTTAAAGTCACTTCACAAGGTTTTCCTGTCGGTACAATTTTTAGGCTAAACCAAACTCCACGAAGTTGAACGTATTCGGCTTGAGGGACCAGTCAAGTGGAATGTCTGTGATCTTGTAATCAATAGCTATAAAGTCTATTTATTTAGAAATACTCCACAGGATGCCTGACGTCTAATTCCCATTCTTGATCTTTTTGGGAACCACAGGTGTGAAAAGAAAAACATCCTTATGGTAAAGAAGTAAAACTAGAAGCTGCTGTGCCATCCTTATGTATTATTTAGATAAAAACGTCTCACAGATATCTGATCCAGGAAACGTCTGCTGCCGAAAAAAAGCAGAGGATGTCTCTTCTAAAGCAGTGTTTTTCAACCTTTTTTGAGCCAAGGTACAGTTTTTCATTGAAAAAATCTCGAGGCACACCAACCAAAAATGTTAAACAAATCTGTAGCCGCCTATAGTAACACTATAGTTATTCTTATTTTATTCTTATCTTATCTTAAGTGTGTTGAATAGGAATCAAATAAACACAAAAATGTATTTTTATCATATTCTATATTTCTTCTTTCAAATTGCTCTTAACATGTCCACTTCAATATACAAAATTACATACAAAATCTAGTCATAAGGAATTATTACATGATTACTCCACCAGTCACTAGAACACCACAGACACTCAAAAATGGAATATTATTTGCAGATAATTAATTCCATATCAAAAA